CAAAGACTGTTCTGATAACCCTCAACTCCACTTTCCTGCCTTCTTCCCACAATCTTTGATTCCCTTATTGATTAAAAAGTTATCTCAGCCTTGGGTACAGCTAATAACCAAGTACTGTGGAGCACTCTGCCCTGCAGTATCAGCCTAAATGATGTGCTCAGATGCTGGCAGCAGGGACTATGTGCACAGCTTTCTGAGTCACAGTGTTGAGTTCTCTACAGTGAGACATGGCTGATGGCTCATTGCAAAGTGATCCTGCAAACAAGATGTTACTCAGGGTCTTACTGACCTGCCCACCTGCTTTCGTTGGATAGCACCATTTAAAAAGCAGCAATTTCTGTAAGGAACACAGCGGAAGGGGTGGCCATTTGGCCCATTGAGCCCATTGAGCAACTTCACGTTCCCATCCTATCCCTTAATCCATTCACTTTCTCAGTCCCACAAACCCGGAATCTATTTCAGTCTTGAATGTATTCATCGGCTGACCATTTACGCTTCTCCGGGGCAGAGAATTCCAAAGGTTCATAGCACCGTGAACGAAGAAATTCCTTCTCATCTGAGTCACCGATGACAGATTAACCAATCGTTCACGTTGGCACTTGTTTCATGCCAGAACAGCCGCTGCCAGAGCGTATGCTGGGTACTATGCTTTAAAAAGAAGAATGTGAAGTATTGGTGGTGACTTTTCAAAGAAATGTAGCTGGCGGGATCATGGCGTTAATTTTCTGTGGTCTGTCTGGGTGGCACTGGTCCTTGAGTGTCTGTACAACACCAATATGCCCACTGGGTCAGTCTCCTTGCTGACACAATGCTCCCCATTTCTTTCATCTCAACAATGCGACAATAACTTGAGTCTATTGAGGCACTTCAACTGAATAAAATTCCCTGAAGCATGATTGAGCCAAATTCAATGCCAAACCTCACATAGAGAGGAGCAGATGACCAAAACATTGGTTAAAGACTTAAGGAGTGACAAAGTGAGGGAGGGCACGAGGCAGAAGGGGTGGAAGAGTTAAAGGAGAGAAGTTCACAGTGCAGAACCCAGTCTGCTGAAGGTACAGCTCACAATTGCAGAGCGATTAATATCTAAGAGGGCAGAATTCGGGAGACCTCTGATTTCCCAGAGGCTGGTAGGGCCTGCAGAGACAGTGAAAGAGGAGGCCGTGGAGAATTTGAAAACAAGGACGAGCAATGTTAAAAACCCAAGACATTACTCAACTGTGAGCCCATGCAGGTCAGCAAGCAGCAGGGTTAACAGAGCAATGGGACTTGCTGAACGTTAGCATATGGTGACAGAGGTCTGGATGATCTTAGTCTGGCTTTGTGTGGAACTTGGGAAAGCTGTTGGGGTATACTGGAAGGCTCAAGGGAATGGAAAGCTCTGTACGGTTTGAGCGGGAGACAAGCTGAGGCAGGGCTGGAGTCACACCATGTTACAAAGGTTGAAATGTAGTGCCGGGGGAGGTATGTGGGGTTGGAAACTCACCTCAAGTTTGAATATGGCTGGGTGGAGAGGTTAGGCCAGGCACAGACAGTTGTCCAGGAGTGGAAAGGAGTTGGGGGGGTGGGGTGGGGGTGGTGGGGTGGGGGTTTGGGGTGGTGGTGGTGGGGTGGGGGTGGTTGGGGAGCATGGTGTTAGGGAACAGAGGACCTTGTTTAATCAAGGTCACAGACCAAACCTATATTCCACTGACACTTCCAAGAGTTATCACTCACTGAGGCCATCATCCTGACAATACAAACTTTTAAACACAAACCAAAATCTAAAGATGGGACTTGGAGATGTCAAGGGTTGGAGCTGTGACTCTCACTTTTGGCGGCTTTTTCCAGTGGGGTTGTCCTGGAGAAGGGTGATTTGCTGGATAGTCCTTGACATTTTTTTATTATGGCTGACTACCTCGTGTTTTGTCAGTGCTGGGAGGGGCGCTTTGTTTCTGTCAGATCCCACCATGCCATTCCATGTTTTACAGAGCGTGGTCCCTCCATGTTTCTCCTTCCTTATTCGTCTGCCCCACCCCAACCTTTACTGTGAAGGTAACCATTGCTAAACTTTGACCTGTGCTGGCAGTCAGCTCAGTATTTGATTGGAGGAGATTGCTGATGATCCAGTCCTGGAATTTGACAATGGGGAGTCAGTGGCGGAAGCCAGAGAGAGGGGGTTAGTGTAGATCCTGGGTGTTTTCCATCTCTTCCAGGGTGATAGCACACGTGGATAAGTAGTCTCTCTGCTCACTCTATTGTCCACAGTCTCATTAACGTCCCATCTTCTGATTTCCTTAATCAGCCTGGCCTTTCTGATGACCTCTTATCTCCTTGATGTCTTTGAATATTGGGCTGCCTCTACCTTCCTGTTCTCCACACGGCATTTTGATAGAAATCCCAATTTTTGTGACCTCTTTTGAAACTAAAACTTCCGAAATAACTTCCTTCATTCTCACAACCAGGTAGAGAAGAGAGAGTCAATAACAATATATGTTAATGACCACTAATGTTGCATTTTATACACATTACGGAGAGCTAATAATGTTTTCTCTAAAGCTTTCTGTTTGGGATGTCAGTTATTCAAAATAAAAAAGTTTTCAAGCATCCTTGATCTCCCTGATGTCCTTAATCTCGCTGGTCTCCATAGCCAATGATAAACCTATACTCCTTACTGTGCCTTCCCTCTTCTTAATCATTTGAAATTTCTCCCAAATTTACATTAAGCAGTTTATGCTGAATTCACTGAGTCACCTGGACCATCTCGAGCACTCGTTTAAATGTAAACAAACAATGTGATAGCAGACTTGAACAATTCGGACATCACGCCTCAGATTAAAGCAGCACCAGACGTCTCTCTCTAATGAGTAAGCAGGGCTATGGTCCAGGAGGACTATGGTGTCTTTACCTTTGAAGTTTTCAACGTGACTGGCTACTGTCATGTTAGGGACCAAACTGAGCAATTAAAAACAGTCAGCACAATCCTAGCTATGCTCAGGTCTCACTGGACCTATGTCCTCCTCTTAAGACAAAAGATGCAAAGATAGAAAAACATATTCTTCAACAAATTGTGTGCCAACCATCTTCACAGTATCCCTACAGTGCAGAAAGAGACATTCAGAATGCTGAGTTTGTACCAACCTTCCAAAAAAGCAAATCCCTGTAATCCCCATTTAGCACGGCCAATCCACCTAATTTGTGGGAGGAAATCAGAGCACCCAGAGGAAACCCACGCAGACATGGGGAGAATGTGCAAACTCCACACCCGAGGGTGGGATCAAACCTGGCACCCTGGCAGCAGCGCTAACTGCTGTGCCACCATGCCGCCTGTGAAAAAATAAAAACAAAGATGCTCGAGATCTGAAACAAATAAAATCAGAAAGTGCTGGAGAAGCTCAACAGATCTGGAAGCATGGGAGAGAGAAAAAAATAAGAGATATTATTTCATGTCTAATGGCCTTGCTCCAGGATTGTACCCCTTGACCTACTGCCCCCTCCTTTCTTATTGTGCTCTGAGACATGGTGTTGTGGTCAGAGAATCAAAGCATTCGAAAGGGCATTACATGATAACCTGAGTAGAAATTATTATGGGGACTTCAAAAAGGAATTAAATAAATACTTGAAAAGGAAAGACTTACAAGACATTGGAGAAAGAGGACAACACATTAATTGGACAGCTCTTTGAGAATGAGCTGTCCCTAACTCAATGGGATGAATGGCCTCTTTCTTTTCTGCATGGTCTGTGGCATGAAGCTATGGTTTGTTGGGCATAGCAGACCAGTTTATCTCCGATCAACTGGGGCGAAGGAGGACCAGCGAGACAAACAAGAATCAGCCAGAGCTGGGGAAGGTCAGGCAGCTGGAAAGGGTGCTGTACCAACCCCTGGGTGGGTCAGCCCTGGTGTAAAATCCACACGTGTGCACACCATCTATGACTCTATAAGTGAGGGCAGTAGTGCTGCTAGCCCTGGGTAGATCCCAGCACCACTCCCTCTCAGCGGGCACTCATAAAGACTGGCTCCTCAGCAGGAGAGAGGTTGGTACTGACTTACTGACTCCCAGCAGGAGATGCCAAGGCCACTAGGTGGCGATTTTCACCCAGAATTAGAGCATTTCCTACAAAATCACAGAACCTCCCAGAACTGAGACCAATCAGTCCATCATCTCCAATTGGTCCCTCTCAACTGCTCTTTTCCCTATCGACTCTCAACGCTTTCCCCCTTTAACTACCTCCTTTGGGAAGGTTTGCTGAATCCACTTCTGCCATCCCATTTCGGAAACAGATTCCTGACCTCGCCAGATGAAATGTTTGCTCCTCATCACAGCATTGGGCTCTTTATTTTTTGTTTTGGCACTGACCCTCCCCTCGCCAACGACAATGTCTTCTCACTAACTACACAGACAAAGCCATTCGAATGCTTCCTGTCATCGAAAGAGAAAAGGAGACTGGCGCTCATCCTGTGTGGAAAAGCTGAAAGATCCCACGGATCTGGGGACAGATTGGGAGAATCTCGCCCATGTCAAGTCAGCACGCTCAGGAAAGAGGGAGCGAGAGAGTGGGCAGGGTGAGGGAGGGGCAGGGGTCCTGGAATCATCATACCAGTAAAACTACAGGCAACATATTTAACATCAAAGAGTCACTAGGAATCTCTTAGCTGCCAGAATGTCTTACATTGTGGGGATCGACTTAGTAATATTTCCTCCTAATGACTCCACTGACCTGGTACTAGTCTAGAAGGTAGGTACCAGTGACTATGTTACAACATTCATTAAAAAAAAGACACTTTATTTACATTAGTTACAAGGGCACATACTAATTCACAAGCGGTCCACTTATTTAAAACCTGCTTTTATACATTGAACGTAATAATGGGTTTTGTCATGGAAAGACCTTGGCTTTTGTACATGTGTGGAGCAGTCACGTAGAGGGGTGTGTGTGTTGTGGGGAAGGGTGGGTTAGACAGCACAGGGGATGCTGTTACTCGCAGGGAAGCAGCTCTCTCTCTCTCTCTATCGTGTCCTCATAACGATGAAGTTGTGGAGTCCACTATTTCTCGCCCGTTGCATACAGTCGGCACATGGTGCGCAGCGGAAACTGCAAAATGGAAGCACAAGTTTAGCTGAGCACTGTTGTCCCATTATCTCATTGTAAACGTGCAAAATTCCGACAGGGTGTGACTGGGAGGGGTGGGGAGGATCTTTCGCCCTCGTCCAGTTTTTTAGGACCAGACTGAGGAGGGATTTCCTTAAGCAGGGGGCTGGTCATTCCTTGCAACTCCCCACCCCAAAGTTCAATCACTCAAGACTGAAATCGATAAGACTAATGGCGATGTTAGGATCGTGGAGGAGCAGTGGTGCTGTAGGGAAAGATCTGTTCAAACGGCAGAGCAGACTCGATGGGCCAAGTGGCCTACTCCTGCTCCTATTTCCGAAGTCCCTATGTTTCAGCAATACCTCCTGTGTTGGGGGTGGGGGGTGGTGGGGGGTGGTGGGGACCTTCCACTACAGCTTGGCAATCTGTACCAAGGCCAAAGGCAATAACTCATTTGGCAGTTTGACTGAAGGCCCCAGGCTCTCAAAGACTGACCTTCATCGTTATCAGCAATCATACGGAGAACCCCCTTCCAACGCCCATCCCCGAGCAACCCTCTACCTACCCGCTCTACGGATTGCTGCTGGGTGTCCATCAACACTTGCAATGCCAACATCACTACCTCAACATCTACCGGGGGGGGGGGGGGGGGGGGGGAAGTGGCTATGTGCTTGGACAGTTGGCCCCGTATCTGTGCCTGCTTTGGGCACACTGTTGCTAAGGCGACCCACGGTTGCCCTCAGTGCCCGCTGCCCAGTCTTACGGGGAAGGGAAGTGGGGATTAGGCTTATCGCTGTGCAAACCCCAGCACCCCAACCCCACACACACACACACACACACACACACACACACACACACACACCCCACTCTAGTGCCCTCATGCTTCAATGGGTCACTCGGGTATGAAGATGAGAGGCCAAACTCTCCGACACAAGCCAGTAACATGGGGATGGGAAGGAAGGAAGCATGAAGGAAAGCTTTAGGTTTGCTTTCTTAGAAAAATTGACCGTGCAGGAGGCAAGGGATGTGCTTGGCTGCCCAGAGAGCTGGCCATTTCTGTGAAAGGGTGGAGGTGGGGGGAGGGTGTGATCCCAGAAGCTGAGTCCTGGTGCACGGTGGTACTTACCGTGAGAGTGGGTGGTCCCCGAGCAAGTCACACTGAAGCGGCTGGTGGTCACGCGATGGGTCACCACATTTTTCTGAGGCTGGAAGAGGATGATGTGGACTTTCGGGGCGAACAGACATCCCAAGACAACCGAACCGCTCAGGCTGACAGAGATACACATGGTGGTGGTCTGGACCTGTGAGAAGGGCAGCAGACACACAGACAGCGTCAAATCCAAAAACAGAAGGCCCGCCTTCCGATACTACCGCACACCCAAAAACCCGCATACATTTCACCGGCTCTTTCTCCCCATGACAGGCTCAACACTCAACCAAAGCCAGGCCCATCTCCATGGAGATAGAAACTTAGCACTTCTGCAAAGAGAAGCACCAAACTCTCAAACAACACTATCAGCTCAGGTTTTATTTATCATTGATTCCCCCTTCGAAATCTGTGACCTCTCCCAGATGGAATTAGACCAGGAATCCTTGGAAATGGGTGTCTCGGTCATACTGGAGCTCCATTTTGAAGTAGACAAGATGAGTCCAGACCAGTATCTTTTACTGGTGTTGCCTTCTGGGATATGGGAATGGGCAGCAGATACATGGGAACACCACACCCTGCAAGCTCCCCTCCATGCTGCTCACCATCCTGACTTGGAAATATACCACCGTTCCTGCAGCATCGCTGGGTCAAAATCCTGGAATTCTCTCCCTGATGGCATTGTGGGTCAATAAGGCACAAAGACAGCTCGCCCTCACTTTCGCCAAGGATGGAGAGTCAGTGCCGATGGACTAACTGTCATTGAAGCAATTCTTGTGGGATCCTGCTGTGCACACAATGTGGCCCTGCTGCTAACAGCGCCTGCAGTTTTGAAGCAATGGCCAGGGAACACTAATCGGGCAGACTCAGGGAGATTAGGTGTGAACATTAAATGTGGCTGCAGTGGTTCATCAGTGTCACTGTCTCTTAGCCCCCCCCTCATCAGCAAGCCAAGACCATGTCTCCATCCCAAATCAAACACCCTTGACCCTGGCAGCCAGCAACGAGCAATACATGCCAGCCTTTAGCGATGCCATGCCCTGAGATTAAAGCAGTAAAAACAGTTAAAGGGGCAGATCTTCCCTTTTAAAGTGAAATGTCAGATGCAGTAAATGACTCAGTGACACACAACTGCTGCCTTCTTTTAAGGCTTACGCCCAAAGTGAACAGCTCATCTGCCAGCCCATGTTATTATAGAGTCAGATATGAGTAAGAACAGAGAGGAATAATGAGCTATGGTTATAAAAATCCAACAGCTTGTCAACAGGCTGTGTTTTCAACAGAGCGAAAGCTGACTCATTGGGACGACAATATTAACAGCGATGTTGGCAATCTCTGCCACATGAGTCAACTAATCATAGTCATAGAGTCATACAGCACGGAAACAGACCCTTCCGTCCAACCAATCCACGCCGACTTCAATCCCAAACTAAACTGGTCCCATCTGCCTGCGCTTGACCCAAATCCCTCTAAATCTTTCTTATTCATGTATTTATCCAAATGTCTTTTAAATGTTGTAACTGTACCCACATCCACCACTTCCTCTGGAAGTTCATTCCATACCTGAGCTGCGCTCTGTGTGAAAATATTGCTCCTCATGTCTTTTTTGAATCTTTCTCCTCTCACCTTAAGAATACATCCCCTAGACTTGAAACCACTCACCCTAGGGAAGAAAAAACATCTGCCATGCATCTTATCAATACCCCTTATGATTTTAAAAACCTTTATAAGGTCACCCCTCAACCTCCTGCGCTCCACTGAAAAAATCCCAGCCTATCCAGCTTCTCCTTATAACTCAAACCCTCCATTCCCAGCGACATCCTGGTAAATCTCTTCTGAACCCTCTCCAGTTTAATAATATCCTTCATGTAAAAGGGTGACCGGAACTAGACACAATACTCCAGAAGAGGCCTCACTAATGTCTTGTACAACTTCAGCATGATGTCCCAACTCCTAAACTCAATGATCACAGAAATGAAAGCAAGTGTGCTAAATGCCTTCTTAACCAACCTATCTTTATGTGACGCAAACTTCAAAGAATTATGTACCTGAAACCCTAGGTCTCTCTGCTCTACAACACCACCCAGGGCCCTCCTTTTAATTGTATAAGTCCTGCCCTTGTTTGTTTTACCAAAATGCAATACCTCACATTTATCCAAATTAAACTCCATCTGCCCATTAACCCAATTGATCAAGGTCTCTTTGTAATCTTAGATAACCTTCTTCACTACACCACTAAATTTGGTGTCATCCACAAATTTACTAACCTTCTTTATTCTCATCTAAATTATTTATATGAAGATTTACCAGCATATTGCTGGGTAAGGAAGGTTTGAGTTGTAAAGAAGGGCTGGGTAGGCTGGGAGTCTTTTCACTGGAGTGTAGGAGGTTGAGAGGCAACCCTATCGCAAGTTTATAAAATAATGAGAGGTATAGATAGGGTTAATGGTAGTTGTCTTTTCCTGAGGATGGGGGATTTCAAGACTGGGGCCACATTTTTAAGGTGAGAGGAGACATTTTAAAAAAGACGTAGGGCCAATTTTTTTACACAGAAGGTGGTTCACACGTGGAATGAACTTCCTGAGGAAGTGGTGGGTGTGGGTATAATTACAACATTTAAGAGACATTTGGATAAATACATGAATAGGAAAGGTTTGGAGGGATAGGGGCCAGAAGCAGGCTGGTGGGATTAGTTTAGTTTGGGATTATGGTCGGCATGGACTAGTTGGGCCGAAGGGTCTGTTTCCATGCTGTATGGCTCTATGACAAACAAAAATGGACGTCCACCATATATTTTTACTTCCTGAGTGTAAGGTGACCATGCTTAGGTCACAGGTATAGGCAGGAGCAGAGAGCAAGTCACGAAGGGAAGGGTCATGGGGCAATAAGGTTGTAGCTGTCAATATGATTGCGGAGTGGTCAAGGGAATGTGAATTAATGCCTAGAATTAAAGATATTTGGGAGTAGCTGACTGATAATTGGAGCAGGGGTTTAAATAAAGTCACTGTCGGAAGTGGGTGTTGAGGTATGGACAGTTTTGGTGGGAATGGGGGGAGAGTAATCTGTGAAGACAGATTTAAATCAGAATGTGAGGATGAGGCAGTGGAAACTAAATCAGAAGCAAGCGAAGCAGATCAGGTCAGAGGTCAGCAGCAGGCAGAGTCAGTGAGCTGCAGAATCAGGGAAGCAGTGTGTGAAAATACTGCTCGGAGCTGAGCACAGTACACCATCGCCTCCCCTTTAGATTCCCTTGGATGGGTGATGGAAGTGGCAGACCTTCCCGGGCAGTCTCAAACCAATTCCAGACAGGCACTGACCCACATCCCAAAGCTGCCTTTTCCCAGTTAGCAATGAGGCCAGGTGCTGGCTATGGAGTGGAGGTGAATGGAGAGAAACTGTGCGAGGACTGTTGCCTGGTTACATTTAGATTCAGTTCAGGGGAATTTTAATAGGTCTGTGGAGGAGAAAGGGTCATTGGAATGTTCTGATGGGGTGATAGATGGGAAGTTTGTGAGGACTCCAGCTGGGACGGGGTGATTGACCTGGCTTGGCGGTATAAACGCTGCACGTTTTTCCGAGCCCAGGGCGGAAGTGAATTGGGAATAGAGTCCGAAATCAGAGCCTCACACTGACTGGCTGAGTAGGGAAGGTTAAGCAGGTTTTCGGGCTTTATGGCTGGAGTGTAGCAGCATGAGGGGTGATCCTGTTGAAAGATTCTGAGTGGGCAGGACAAGGCGGGTGTGGAGGTGTCTCCACTTGTGGAGGAATCTCAAACTAGGGGGACATTACTGGGGGCAGCACGGTGGCTCAGTGGTTAGCACTGCTGCCTCACAGCACCAGGGACCCAGGTTCAATTCCAGCCTTGGGCGACTGTCTGTGTGGAGTTTGCATATTCTCCCCGTGTCTGTGTGGGTTTCCTCCGAGTGCTCCAGAGGACAGTCCAAGGACCTGCAGGTTTGGTGGATTGGCCACGCTAAATTGTAGTGTCCAGAGATGTGTAGGTTAGGTGTACAAGCTGTGGGAAATGCAGGGTTACAGGGATAGGGTGGGATGATCTTTGGAGGGTTGGTGGCCGAAAGGCCTGCTTCCATACTGTAGGGGGATTCTACAATTAGAGAAAGAGGGGACGCTGCTTTACAAAGGATGCTCCTTACCCTGTAGTCACTGGAGGTGACGTAGAAGATAGGCAGGAAGGCGAGCCAGATGATGCATGTGGTGTACATGGTGAAACCAATGAACTTGGCTTCATTGAAATTCTCAGGGCACTTCCTTGTTTTGAAGGCATACACTGTGCAGAGCACGATGAGCACCACAGTGTAGGTCAGGGAGGTGAGCATGCTGGACTCCTTAGTGTTGCACTTGAGGGTGACCGTATCCCTCTTCTCGGGCGTGGTCTCCTTCCTGGTGCCAGGCGTCTCCACCACCAGCCATACTGTGACGACGATCAACTGGCAAGAGATCAGCGCCAGGCAGATCCCCACCTGGGAGGCTGGGCTGATGCAGCGCGGCCTCTGGGCGCCGTCCTTCACGCCGTTGAAGATCCGCGCGATGCGGTTGGTCTTGGTGAGAAGGGCCGAGTAGCAGACGGCGAAGGAGGACCCCAGCCCGAGGCGGCGCAGGGTGCAGACCGCTGTTGAGGGCTTGGCGATGAAGATCAAGGTCATGCTGTACGACATGAGGACCCCGACGAGGAGGATGTAGCAGAGCTCCCTCCCCGAGGCCTTCACCACTGGTGTGTTGTTGTTCTTCACAAAGATCCCGAACACGCAGAGGGTGCAGATGAAGCCCAGGCAAGAAATGGTGATAGGCCCAATGGCCCAAGCATCCTCCCACTTGATATACTCTTCTGGAAGGTCGTAGCATGAGCTGAGATCTGCGGTGGGCCACCGTCCCGGCCCACAGTCCATGCAGGTGAACTCATCGTACAGGAACTCATAAGGATGGCAAGGGATACAGAGCCAGCAGCAAACATCTCCACGCTGCATGCTCTTGGCTTCATTCTTGGCACAGGGATCGCTGCACTGTGATGTCGGAATGGACGCCCTGGGCCAGGCGATCAAGCTGGTGTTGAGGGTGAGGCTCTCCCCCCAGTAGCCAACCCTCTGATAGCCGTACCTCCCAGCCCTCGCCTGGAAGTTGAAGATGTTGTACCGGCCGATTCCGTCCCCGTGTCGATCGAACCGGATTTCACTGTCCGTGTCATCCGAGCGGAAAGGGGCTGGGGAGAGAACAGATCACGAGGGTTTCTGAAATCCACTCACTCAATGAGGCATCCAGACCCAGACCCGCACAGACACAACTGGGGTCCTTGCCCACATTAAACACAAAGGTCACCACAATATCTGGTCTGGAAACGAAACTCTCCCCTCCCCCACACAACAACCAAATTAATTCTCTTCATCACCTTAACAATTTACATACTTCTCTGGTTCAGCATGACCCGAACACTGCTTCAATGACCTCCTTATTGCAGCCATACTTTCCAAACTTGACTATGTGCTATTCTCCAATGCTCTCGCACAGGGTCACTCCTCAGCAGCAAGGCCGGATGGAGAGAGTGCATTGATTATCTGATAAAAATTGCAGCACTTTGTAGCAGTAGTCTAAGGATTAGTGAAGAATGTTCACCGTAAAGTGATTAGGTATTTGTTGTAATGAGATGGTGAGTATTAATCTGTGTTGCACTTTCTGGTGACACCTATTTTCTGCAGGCCGACAGTGGAGTTATCGTTACAAGTGTGGGGGGGGTGTGTGTGTGTATCTGTGTGTGTGTGTGTGTATGTGTATTTTTGTGTGCGTACGTCTTTGTGTGTGTGTGTGTGTGTGTATTTGTGTGTGTGTCTGTGTGTATGTGGGTGTATCTGCATGTGTGTGCGTGTGTATGTCTGTGTACGTGTCTGTGTGTGTGTGTCTGTGTGTGCGCGTGTGTGTGTGTGTGCGCGCGTGTGTGTGCACTTGTGTGCGTCTGTCTGTGTGTGTGTCTGTCTGTGTGTGCGCATGTGCATTTGTCTGTGTGCATGTGTGTGTGTCTCTCTCTAAATAGAAGTTTTGATGTGAATAAATATGAGGCTCCTGTTATATTCATCATCTGTCTTAATGAGCCAAAGTGCTGCCAAAGTTGCCTTCTCACTTTGAGGCCATTGTCGTGGTCCTGCTAATTTTAGCTTCCTCAACATAGAGCTGGGACCAAAAGCAGACAATTGTGTATGATCTGTATGGCTCAGTTCCAGAATGGGCAGTGAACTTACCAAGTGAGCTGCACAAGGGTCACTGCTTATGATGTTATCAAAATCAAATTCGTGGCTTATACACTTCATGATATAATATTTAGTTTTAGGATTTAAAGTTTGACAGTAGTTCATGTGAGAAATGCAAGCACACTTAAAAGATTGGGGCAACAACCAGAAAGGTAGGATCAGAAAGACAATGTGGGCATTCTGGATGGAGACCCTGTATTCACACTGTGATAGTCCGGAGGGATTATTTATTTCGAGAGTTAAATCAGTGGTCTCTGAAAAGCTATAAAAATCTCTTGACTTCATCAGATCAAAGAAGAAATGGTAAATGAGCAATACATCACCTAAAAGTCACAATAAGGATGGATCAGAACAAGCCATGTCATCATGGGGGTGGGGATGGAGGGGGTTCCTTTAGAAGGTTCTCTGGTTTCAATTTATCTGTGTGCCTGCTGGGAGAGGAGTTAGTTGCAGTTTGGAGCTGGAAGTGCTGAAGCAGAAGAGGCAATCCCAGACACTAAGCGCTTCAATTAGTGGACACCAGGCACTTAGGGATCATGAGAAGTCTCAGGGAATTTCCTCTCCATAATGCAGGAAAACTACAGTACTAAAACAAAGTCCTGGGAGCCCATAATAGTTCAGTGCTAAAAGTGTGATGAAGGAACTTCACAAGCTGTAGTTGCTTGATGAAGCTGGGGAAGGTAAGAGGCTTGTAAAGATGCCAGAAAAAGATAGTAAGCCTGAGGAAACAGTGCAATTTAGAACCCAAAGAAGGATGACCAAAAACTTGATAAAGAAAGGAGAAAGAGAATTTGAATGCAAACTAGTGGGAAACATAAAGCTGGACTGTAAAAGCTTCTTTAGGAATAGCTTAGTAAGGACAAATGTGGAGCTATCACAAGTGGAGGCAGGAGGACTTATTCTGAAGAACAAGCAGAGCAATTAGATATTATTTTTGTATCTGTCTTCACAAAGAAGACACAGAAAATCTCAGAAATACTAGACCAAGGGACTTTTATAACTGAGGAACTGAAAAAAAGAATTGATATTAGTAAAGAGATAGTACTTGAAAAATTAATTGGATCGATAAATTCCTTCAACCAAATGATCCTCGATTGTTGAAGGAGTTGACTGTAGAGTGAGTGGATGTATTGTTAATTATCTTTCATAATTCTATAGGATTTTGAAGACTTTCTGCAAACGTAAAGATAGCAAGTGTAACCCAACTACTTAAGTAGTGAGGGGGATTAATAATCAATGACAGGCCTGATTGACAACTGTCATAAGGAAATGTTATAATCTATTTTACGGGATGTGATAACCAGAAAACTTAGAAAATAATGACAAAATTGAACAAAGCTAACATGGATTTATGAGATGGAAATTATGTTTGACAAATCTGTTTGACTTTTTAAGGATGTTGCTTGTAACATAAATAGAGGAGAACTAGTGGATCTAGTATATTTGGATTTTCAGAGGGCTTTTGACAAGGGGATCGTAAATAAAACTAGAGAACATGGAATTCAAGGTAATATACATATTGAGAACTGGTTAACAGATAGAAACCAGAGAGTAGGAATAAACGGGTCAGTCTCAGGATAGCTGACTGTTGTGAGTGGGGTATCACAAGGAACGTGTTCAGGTCACTGCTGTTCACAATCTACGTCAAATGATTTAAGTGTACGGACCAACTGTAATATTTCCAGATTTGCTGATGCCACAAAACCAGTTAGAAATATATGAGTCATGACAAAGATCCAGAGGGGCTTCAAGCAAACATGGACTGGCTAAGTGAATGGACATGTCATGGCAGATCGAATACTATGCGAATAAGGGTAAAATTGCCCACTTTGATAGAAAGGCAGAACATTTCTAAAATGTTAAGGTCTCGAGAACTGTTGGTGTCCAAAGAGACCTGAGTGTCCTTGTTCATGAATCATTAAAAGCTGGCATGCAGACGCAACAATTAATAAGGAAGGCAAATGGTATGCTGGCCTTCATTGCAAAGAGAGTCGAGTACAGAAGGTATCTTGCAGCAATTGCAGAGACCCTTGGTGAGATCACAACTAAAATATTGTGTTTAGTTTTGGTCTTCTTATCTAAGGAAAGATATGCTTGCTATAGAGGGAGTTCAGAGGAAGCTGACCAGACTAATTGTTCCTTGGATTGCTCTATGAGGACAGATTGAGGAGACCAGGCTTGTGTCCTTTAGAGTTTCAAAGAATGCGTTAATTGCTTCGAAATGTTGCGGTTGTGACGGGGTAAAGGGAGGTAGGATGCTTCCCCAGCTGGTGAGTCAAAAACGAAGGAACATAGTCTCAGAATAAGGGGCAGGCCTTTAGTATTAGAATGAGGAGGAATGTCTTTACTCAGATGGTCCTAGGTCTTTGGAATGCCCTGTCCTCAATGGCAATGGAAGCTCAATCATTGAGCAGATTCAAGACGAAAAATCAATAGACTTCTAGAGACTAGTCACACCAACAGATAGGGAAATAACATGGGAAAGTGGCATCAAGGTAGATGGTCAGACATGATCTGTTTGGAATGAGGAGTCGATTGATGGGCTGAATGGCCTACTCCTGTTCCAATGTTCCTAAGATTCAAATTTAGCAAATTTCAGGGGCCTCTCTGTGAAACAAGCTGACAATTACTGCTTGTGAGCCTCTCAGGAATCCTGGGGAGATCTATCTCTGGAGCAGAGGTTGAATTACCAAGTTGTAAGTAGTCACTGAGGCACCCTGTGTCAGCCAAGGACTGGAGGACATTCCAAAGCTAGATCTTCAAAAGTGAAGACTTGGAATCCCTTGGAAAGAAGAAGAATTTTATTGAGATTTGATGACCCATTGTGCCACTAACATCTGGGTGGGAACTGTCTTGATTGTTGACTTACCATTTAATGTAGAGTCTGTATTTAAATTACAGTCTGTATTGAGTTCAACCAGCTTGTTTATTAACTGACATTTGCCTCATGATGGTGCAGAATGTTAAAGACTGCATATTGTTTAGAATCATTGAAGTACGCGGCCAAATAGATCTGTTTTGTCATTGTTGATTATGTTTGTTTCATTCGAGATTGTGTAACAAAGATTTGTTTTGGCATTCTAATTCATCCCTGGAATCTTGTTTCTTATCTTTTTAAGATTTGGTTCTTCTAAGTATTGCTTTATAAGATTGTAATGACAGCTCATAACAAAGGTCCGGCTCATTCAGTACTCTCAAACTGAGATGTTAACCCTCTCTATTGATTCCTAGTCTCCTGATTCCTAGTGAGTCTGACCCAGAGTCCTCGCTCAGCTCTAGTGAGTCACTGAAAACCAGCTCCATGTTCTGGAACTGAGGTCTAGCCTCATATTCAAGCTCTGGCCAAACTGTATCAAGAGGACAGGATAGGGATTGGCATAAATAAGCGAGACTTGAAGGCACTCAGTCAGAGCACTTTGAGCTGCACTGGACGAGTGCTGCATTGACGGATGTGCTGCCTTTCAGAAAGCTGGGGCGTGAAAGAGTCTGGGGCACTATACTGAAGAAGGGGGTGGGATTGTCCAGACCAATATCCACCCTGAGAACAACGACAGGCTCATCATTTCTCACCGGGCTGTTCATGGGACCTTGCTATGGGCTGCAACGTTTTGCCACACAACATTGGGCTTGCTCTGAGGTCGAGACACGCACGACAATGCAAGCATCCCTTCACCAACCCCCCCCCCCCCCCCCACCCCTGGGAAGCACAAAGGAGGAACGCGTTTACCGTCAAAGTGAACCTTCACGATGTAATCCTTGTAAAACTTCTTGCCATTGAGGGGCCTCATGTTGTCGCAGAGACTGGTGGTGTTGGGGCAGAGTGCCTGCTGCATGTTGTGGAGAGCATGGGCCATGGCGTAGACAGCATTGAGTACGAACATGATCTTGGACTCGGGCTGGTACCTCTCCTTCCTGAGTGTGTTGCTGGCACAGGCCCTCTCGCGGAAGCTGCAGTTGAACCTCTGCTGCCAGAACTCCCGGAACCAAGCGTTCCTGCGGTTGTTGGCCGGGTGGAGATTGACGAAGTAGGCGGCGAACTCCGCGATGGAGCGGGCGGCCAGCTCGATGGTGATGGCCCCCCTTGCCGCCAGCTCGTTGCCCCGCACCACATTCTCCAGGGCACCCCAGCCGTCGCTGGCCACCCAGGTGAAGGAGGCATTGAGCCGGTGGGCCGCGGCCAGCAACTCACGGGCATCCTCGCTCTTGGTGAACAGGACCACCACCTGGGCGCTGGGCTTCTGCGCCAGGGCCTTGATGACCCCGTCGTAGCTCTTCTGGCTCATGGAGCGGCCCACCTTCTCCGAGGTGGCGATGCAGATGTTCCTGGCACGGGCCTCCTGCTCAAACACCTCGATGCCCGTCTCGCCATAGTCGCCCTCCGATGCCACCGTGGACACGTACGTCCAGTTGAAAAAGCGCAGGATGTCCGACATGGCCTTCGCTTGGTAGAAATCGGGCGGCACAGTCCGTGCAAAATAATCGTAGCGGGACTTATCGCTCAGTTTGGCACTGGTGGAGGCGTAGCTGATCTGGGGAATCTGAAACAAGCGCAGCAGGTTGGCGACCTGGCACAACAGAAAGAAGAGAGTCAGTGCACCTCACCATCAACACAACCCCTTGGACCAGTGATGCCAGCTGCCCTCGAACTCCCCAAACACGTGGGAACGAAGTTATTAAACTGGAGAGCGTTTGGGAAAAAAAAATTTACTGGGATGTTTCCAGGACTGGAGGGCTTGAAGTTATAAGGAGAGGCTGGATAGGCCGGGACACTTTTCACTGGAGCGTAGGAAAGTTGAGGGGTGACCTTGTGGAGGTTTATAAAATCGTGAGGCTAATGGATGAGGTGAATGGCAAAGGTCTTTTCCCTTGGGTCAGGGAGTCCAAAACAATGGGGACATATTCTTAAGGTGAGAGGAGAGAGATCTGAAAGGAGTCAAAGAGGCAACATTTTCACACAGAGGGTGGTTTGTACATGGACTGAACTGCCAGTGGAAGTGGTAGACACAGGTACAGTTAAAACATTTAAAATACACTTGGCCAGGTATGAGAAGAGGAAAGATTTAGAAGGACAGAGGCCAAATGCAGGCAAATGGGGCTTGTTGAGTTTGGGAAACTTGGTAGGCATGGGCTGGTCGAACTGAAGGGTCTGTTTCCGTGCTGTATGACTCTATGACTCTATCTGTACCAACCAAACTCCAAAAGCTTGTTTCTCAGAACTCCCTTCTGGTCACTTCTGTTATAAAGGCCTAAGTCTCCAAGATTCCCCACTACCCACCCCCGCGCCCATCATAACCCAAAGCTCTGACTTCTGGCCTTTTCCGCAGTTCTGTCATGGTCTGGGATTTTGGGAGACCCCAGCATGCCGAGCTCGGCTCACATAGTGCGGGCATTGCTTCCAGGCCTCACACTGAGGAACACTTCCCACCGTCAGCCATGGTCAGCAGTAAATGGCTCAGGCCCTCACACTATCTGATGCACAAAGATACCTCTCAGCCTGTCAGCTGGCCATTCAGCCCCAACTCGATTCAACGCAAAACACTGTGGATGCCGGGAGCGTGCAATAAAAAGCGGAGGTGCTGGAGAAACTCAATGTGCCTGGCAGCATCTGTGGAGAGAGAAACAGAGTTAACGTCTCGACTTTTGTGAACTGAAGAAGAGTCATATTGGACTCAATATTACATCTGTTTGTCTCTTTCCACAGATGCTGTCAGGCCTGCTGAGTTTCTCTAGCACTTTCTCTTTTTACTTCAATTAAATCCTGACTGTCCAACATCACAGCTTCGTTTTTCCACCATCGTTCCACATCTCTCAGTTGGCAAAAATTAGCAAACTCAATCGGAAAAGCTCCCATTGTTTCCCAGCGTATTACAATGGAGTCTTCACCCAATGATGAAGAGTATGGTCAATGAATCTAGAGCAATAGATGGGTCCTTACAGCTTCATGGAAGTGACTAAGTCAGCAAAGAATGTCACTGCTTCTTTTGGCTGGTGCTGTCGCATTCTGGGAACAGAAACTGTGTATAAGCTGACCAGTCCGATCAGCAACTTGCCATCCTTTGAAACCTATCCTTCCAGTGCCTGAAGATACCCATCAGAGAATCTTCTGCATTTCAGAAAATCCCCAGTGTTTTTAATTTTCCCCCAATGAATCATTGTAAACATTCAAGACTCTCATGAACAAAGTTATTTTGAAGGCAAAGGCAAAACAGAAACTACTGGACATACTCAATTCATGGATTTATAGATTCATACAGCACAGAAAAGGCCCTTCGGCCTATCGAGTCTGCACCGACATAACTACCACTAATGGTGCGCTAATCCCAATTTCCTGCATTTGTCCCATATCCTTGAATGTTTTGATATTTGAAGTACTCATCCAAATATTTTATAAAGGTTGTAAGGTTTCCAGCCTCCACAACCTTCCCAGGCAGTGTATTCCAGATTCCCACCACCTGCTGAGTGAAAAATTTTTTTATCCCCAAATACCTTCTGAACCTCCTGCCCCTTACCCTACAATTATGCCCCTTTTGTGACTGACTCTCACCAAGAGGAACAGCTGCTCTGTATTCACCCTGACCATACTCCTCATAATCTTATACACCTCAATCATGTCCTCCTCAGTCCCTCTGCTCTTAAAAAAACAATACAAGTCTCTCCTTATGGCTCAACTTCTTCATCCTAGGCAACATCCTGGTGAACCTCCTCTGTACCCCCACTGCTGCTATCACATCCTTCCTGTAGTGAGGTGACCAGAACTGCACACAGTATTCCAGCTGTGGCCTGACCAATGCTCTGTGCATCTCTAACATTACCTCCTTGCTCTTATACTCTATGCCACGACTGATGAAAGCAAGTGTCCCATATGCCTTCCTAACTATCCTATTCACATGCTCTCCTGGCTTCAGGGATCTGTGAATAATTACCCCAAGATCCCTCTATTCCACTAAGCTACCCAGTGCCCTGCCATTCATTAAATACTCCCTCATCTTGTTTGTTCTTCCAAAGTGCATCATCTCACCCTTATCAGGGTTAAATACTATCTGCCACTGGTTTACCTACCTGACCAACCCATCTATATCTTCCTGTAACCTACAATCATCTTCTTTGCTATTAACCACTCTACCAAACTTTGCATTATCTGCAAACCGCTCTACCCATCTGAGTCGCCCTTTCACCAGAACTACAAAAAGTTGGAAATCTTCAGATGGAAGGAGATTGAGGAATCTAAGGAAAAATGCTGAGACGATTGAACAATGTAGCAATTTGGCCAATGATAAGCAGTGACTGGACAAGGAATTTAACATTAAAAGTCCATCGGTACATCAATAAGTAAACTCCATTCAGGTAACAGGACTTAAAGAAAAGGAAAAAAAAGTTTTTTGCTGAATTCACACAACGTCTAACAGTAAGATGGGTGAAGTGATGACACGAAGACAGAAATTAATCTATCCACCATTGCAGACATGTGGGGCGGGATATTTTCAGATGGTGCATTTTCCAAGTCATATTCCCTGCTCTGATATGCATTTTCCTGTAAACAGCTGTTTCTACTTGGGCCAGATCCTGACCTACCTGATTAAAATTGGCCTTCCCTCAATTCAGAACTTTTTACTTCCAGTCCATCTCTGTTCTTGTCCATAATTACCTTAAATCTTACTAAATCATACTCACTACCATCAAAATATTCCCTCACTGCCACATTCACTACTTGCCTGGCTTTGTTCCCTAAAGTTACCTCCAACGGTAACATGTCATTTGTAGGACTTTCTACATGATGAACTACAAAGCTCTCCTGGTCACATTTTAAGAATTCTGCTCCTTCAAAGCCTTGCACACTTTGTCTATCCCAGTTAATACTGGGGGAAGATGTATTTGCCTACTATTGTTGCCTTTTTTAACACTTCTGAGATTTGTCTACATATCTGTCATTCTATCTCTTCCTGAGAATTTAGGGGCTTAAGTACACCCCCCAGCAAAGAAATTGTCCCCTTTTTTGTTTTTAGGTTCTTCTCATATGGCCTCAATTGAGGAGCATTCTAAGATATAACCCCTCCTTATTGCAATAATTGACTCTTTGGTCAATATTGTGATACATCCCTCTTAAACATCCATACCTCTCTCACCTGAAGATTCCCTAACCTGGAATATTGAGCTGCCAGTCCTATCCTTCAGTAAAACATGTCTTTGTGATTGCAATGATTTCACATCCTAAACCTATCTGCCTTTCTTGCAAAACTCCTTACGTTAAGGCAGGCTTAATCAAAGCCTCTGAATCCCTACAGTGTGGAAGCAGTTCATTAGCCCACTGAATCCATGCCAACTCTCGAAAGAGCATCCCACCCCATCCCTGTAACACTGTATTTCCCATGGCCAATCCACCAAGCCTACACATCTTTGGATCGTGGGAGGAAACCGAAACAGCCAGGAGAAACTCATGCAGACACAGAGAGAATCTGCAAACTCCTCACAGTCTGAGGGCGGAATCGAACCTAGGTCCCTGGCACTGTGAGGCAGCAGTGCTAACCACTGAGCCACCATGCCACCTTGAGAGGGCATTGGATGACTATTTAAATAGAAACAATGTGCAAGGGTACTGCGGTAAAGGCAGGAGGTTGGCCCTCAGTCATCTTGCTCATTTGAAGACCTAGTACAGACAAGATGGACTGAATGGCCTCTTTCTCTGCCGTAACAATTCTCTGATACTTTTAATCATCAGCAAAGTGGGACAATGCAATGAGGTGGCAGTGACACAGTAATAACCTGCGCAAAGATGCTCGGTTTGGGCTCTCCCAGGGTCACTCAGCTCCTGACCTCATTACCTTCATCCAAACATAGGCAACACAGCTGGAACTCCAGTGATGAGGTGAGAGTTACTCCCGTCCCACAGTAATGTGATTAACTCTTAACTGCCCTCTGGCCAGTCAGGAATAAGCAATAAATGCTGGCCCAGACAGTGACACCCACGACTGAATCAGCATAAATCATTGAGCCCTAGCAAAACTGGAGTCAATGAGAATCAGGAGGGAAGGCGAAGTAGGAATGTTCGCTGATGATTGTACAATGTTCTGTGCCATTCCCAACTCCTCAGATACTGAAACAAGCTATGTTCAAGCGCAGCAAGATCTGGACAAGATTTAGGCTTGAATTGATGGGAGACAAGTAACATTTATGCCACAAAAGTGCCAGGCTATGACCATCTCCAATAAAAGACAATCTAACCACTGCCCCTTGACATTCAATGGTGTTATCATCACTGAATCCCCCACTATCAACATCCTGTGGGTTACCATTGACCAGAAACTCAACTGGACTCACCACATTAACACAGTGGCTACAAGAGCGGGTCAGTGGCTAGGAATACAGTGGCAAGTAACTCATCTCCTGACTTTCCACCATCTACAAGTGTGATGGAATACTCCCCACTTGCCTGGATGGGGGCAGCTCCAAAAACACTCAAGAAGCTCAATACCATCCAGGAAAAAGCAACCCCCTTTGATCAGTGCCCTATCCACCACCTTAAGCATTCACTCCCTCCACTACCAAAGCTCAGTAGCAACAGCATGTA